TTATTGTATAATAAATATATAAAAATATGAAATATAAAGGAAAATAATGATAAAACTTTATTTAGCTATTTAATTCAGAAACTTCAGTAAAAGTTTTTAAAAACTGTTTATTAATTGTCAAATTTTCTATGTGGGAAATGAATGATGATTTCATTTTAATTCAAGATAAAATTTTATTCACTAAGTAATGTTGAAGAGAGTTTTGAAATAAAAACAGATTTTTTTTCAGTTTTTTTTAAAGCTCTGTTTCAGTTTGTTTTCCATGAAAATTTCAAACTGTGGTTTAGTAAGTAACATCAACTTGCCTTTACTTCTAGTGCATAACTATGAAAGTAAACAGTGATGTAACAAGTGACTGAACTGATTAGAAACAAAGTAAACAACATTTCAATTTCACTTTTAAAACACATGATTTTCCTGTATTTTGGTGAATATTTCAAAATAATGTTTGTAGGTTTAGCCAAAATGCTACTCCATTTTATAGTAACATTTTTGTGGCTATTGCCATAATATTAATTTTCTATTGCAAATTAACATGGGACTACCAAAACCTTTTTTATGTGATCAGACATTCTGCACCTCTTCTGTGATGATAATACTAATCATAGAAGGTTGAAACTTGCTGGTTCAGGAAACATAATTCTGAACCCTAGTTGAGAATTATAATAAATAAATAGAAATTAATGATTATGAATATACAATGTTGATAACAATCAGTTAATTAAGATGATATTTTGGATATTTATATATGTTTATATGTAAATTTTTGTGTTGATTGTTATGATTTTTGTAATAATCTTTGTCTCAGTAAATTATTGTTTAATTATACTTTTTTATGCTAAAATTTTAAGAACAATATTACAAAACAAAAATTTTTCCTTTTTTGAAAAGGCTCATAGGTGAGTGAATTTTGAGAGAATTTAGAAAATTGTAGCTACAATCACTGGCAATTTATATTTGTAAAGAAAATGAATATTAAATATTACTTTACAAATTAATGATATAAATTTTTAGTTGAATCAAATGAAAGCTGAACATCAAGATGAAATAGATAGTATCAGATTAGATTTAGAAGATGAAGCTAATAATCGTACTACTTTAGATCAGAGATTGTCAGAATTAAGAGCAGAAGTAAGTATTGAAATTTTATTTTTAACAAAATTTTTTTATGCTCAAAAATAATTTGATATTTTATTTTTAAAATATGCATTTCTTAAAAGAAAAAATTAAATATTACAGTTCTGCTTATCAAATTATTTTATATTAATTAACTCAATAGAATTAATGTATATTATAAATTATGATATATGTTAATTCTCACTATTTGAAGTTTTTCACCTGTTTTACATTTTTTATGTTCAAAATTATCTTTTGAATATATTAACATAAAGATGCTTTGCCATATCTGTTTTAAAGAGTAGAAATGGTGTTGAGATTCATGATGGGGTTAGAATAAGATATGATAATTACTAATCATAAGTGATACTGAGTAATTTGCTTTAAATCATAGCAATTCATATTTCAAATAATAATAATTTTTCATATTTCACAAATAATTGGAAATTTCTCTCAATTCTAATAGATTGAATTATTATTTTTCAAATGTTTATTGTTCTTAAGATTTATATGCTTATTGTGTTTGTGATTTTTATATTTGTAATTTTAAAAAATATATGATAAATCAAATTGTTAGTTTTTGTCAACATAATTTATTTTGTAGATTTCTTTTATTGAGTTTATAATAATTTTCAAAAATTTTTCTTATTTGATTCTTGCATGTTCTTTTAATGAATATAGAAAATTTTCAGTGTTTAAGTATAATTTATATATAAATATTATATAACTCAAAAAACAAAACAATGTTTTAATGGTAAAAATATAACAAAAAGCATAAGAAAAATAATGTGTTATTTTATATTGCTGAAGAAGTTGTAAATCATCTTCAGGAATGCTGGTTAATATGGAGATAAGCATGCAAAAGTGTAAACAAATGATTGTTGTACTTATGACAAAAATTATAAAAAAAAAATAACTTTATTGTTTAATTCATTGCTAATGTACTTAAGGTATAAAATTAAACATCAAACAACAAAAATAAAAATCTGTTTGAATATATTTGTCAAAATTATGTCAATAAAATTGTTATTTTCAAGGTAGATAAATAATCAGAATCCCATCAATTAGTTACATCAGTTTGTAGGCTTTTTTGAAAATCCATGACACTTCTGTAATGCAATGATTTTTTCTGATTCTTAAAATTCCAAGAACTTCTGTATTGTTCCAGGAAATATCCAAATTCCTAGCTAATACATTCTGTTAGAAAGGTGCTGTCTTTTATTGTACATCTTTAGTATGGCCTTTGATCTAGCAAAGATTTTACATTTATAATTTACATTGTAATTGATTACAATGTAAGTTAGTATAGTTGTGCAAAAATATAAATTGAGTGTTTTCTTAACTGAGAATCAATTTTTTTTAATTGATAAAGCTGCTAATTATTTGAATCACTAAACTAATTATGTAGAGTTCTATCAGTTAATCTTGTTAACATTAATGATTGTTATATAATTAATAATTAATAAACTATATAATATAATTATAATTACTTTATTTTTGACCAATAAATATATCATTATTAGGAAAGACTGCTAATATACTCATAAATTAACACTTATTGGAACTAAAAATGAATTCATTCATTAATTGGATTGAAAGTTGCAAAAATTATATGCAGAATATTTTAAAATTATATATTTGTTTACTTTGTTCTTAGTTTTTTAACAGAATCATAAAATAGATTAATTTTGAGTAAAAACTTCACTACTAGTTACTAATTAAGTAAAAATTCAAGAATTTCAATAATTTACCAGTTTCAAATAAAATCAGATTCATGTTGTTATCATAAGTTATATAATATAAGAAATTGCACTTTAAATTTCAAAACTCCATTGTTAGTAAATTTCTTGACAAATTAATCATTGTTCTAATTATTGAATAAAATTATTGATAAATTCTGATATAATTCTTTTTGTCATGGTTATATTTATAAAATTATAACTAACTATATATATTACATATTTTTGATAAATATATAATTAATATATCATGGAAAATTTATATTAAATAGAATTTTCATCATTAGCACAATTAGAATTGGAATTAGAAATAATTAGAATAATGATTTGCTTTCCAAAAGAAATTCATTGATGTAATCAGCTTTCAAGATAGTTTTTGTAATAAGTATTAAAAAATTTTGAAAGCATATCAAACAGCTCTAAAATAATTCCTAACAAAACATATGATTCAAATTTTATTTAAAAGAAACATTTACATACTTAACAGTAATGCCTTATTTAACATTGCTCATGCAATGCAGGCAAACATATTTCAAGTGTTTTAGACTTATGGATTTTTTTTCAGTTTATGAGAACAACATGATTTGGAGGTGGTTTTTCTTACCATTTAGTTTGCTCATTTCTACCTATGTAACTTCTTCCATTTGCCTCAGAGCTCACTTCTACACTGTCTTCTTTTTTGCCATTGCCTTCTTTTTGTCACCATTGCCTTCTTTTTGTCAATTGTGTCAATGCCATAGTCTGAAATGTAAATATTATTCTCTTCTCTCTCATCTCTTCATGGCTTTCGTCCTCATCACTTCTGCTGATTGTGCAATGGAAGAAAATTCTTTTGCCTAGAGGCAGAAAATGACTAAGGATATGTAAATGCTCAAAACCTTAAGTTTTACACAAGTCTAAAACTTTCAAATAATAAATGTTGCACTAAAATTACTTGTTATGCTTTCATTCCTGTAGAAACCATCATTTGATGTCTGTATGCATCTTCAACTATAAGTAGATTGAGTGACATCAGAAAGTACTGCAGTGACGCATCTGGTATTGGTGTTCCTTTCTTTCATATTTTTCTCAGAACTACACAAACAATGAATAATTAAGACAGTAGAATGTTACAGAAGATACTTGAAAATACTGAGAAAATTTGAACTCACATATATGTACTACAGTATGCATTAAAATATCACTGGGGTGACTCATACATTTTGCATTCCCATTTCTGGATTAACCTGATATTGATCAGAGTTTTGTATTTGGTATAGTGGGGTCTTTATCAGCCCAAGTAAGTTAAATTGAGGAATCAGGATATAATCATACTTGTATTTATTTTAGATAAAAAAATGCAGAAGCCTAAAAATTCTTTATGTATGTCACTTTTATGTATTCTAGCCCAGTATTTTCCAATCTTTTTGGACTTACGGCACACTTAAACAATTGTATGAAGGTTGAGGCAGACTGTTAGTAAATACTGTGGGATTGGCCAACAGGTCAATTGTGGAATTACTTTCAAGTGAAGTTAAAATATCAAAATCTTGTTTGTTATTCTCATTGCTTATTCATAGTTAGTTCCACTGGTGTGCAGTCCCTTTTTCTTTTTAATATTTTATCACAAGTTTTAAATTTTGAGCTAAGATTTCTTAATTTCCTAAATTTATATACTGTTTCAGTTGATGTTAAAATTATGCTGAGAAACAAGCATTTTTCAAATTATTTTACTGATAAGATTATCCTTGTCTAAATTACTGTTTTCTTATATATGAACATCAACTCAAAAATCCAATTTTTTTTAATTATTTAATTGATTGCAATGACAACTAATAACAATCTGTTATTAAATATTAATATCTAATTATAAATTATTTACCTTATATTACTCAGAATAAGATAATTGTCACATGCACTTATGACATTGTCACAATGCTGGGCTGCAATCTTTAATCATATCTTGATTTAAAAAATCATGTGACTTCTGTTCAAAACTGGAAGTTCATATATAGTTAGGTTGGGCTTCTGTCTCTTAAATTTGTCATATCTGGTCTTGATTTTCATCTATCTAATTCCATTCTCAAGATTAGGGAAGGACAGATAGATGATAGTTACATAGTAGGTCTGCAATTTGAAAATTGCAACTCAATAACAATTTTTCAAAGCTTGAAATAGTGATGATATCATCATAAATTACTTTATATTTACTGTACAAAAGGATTTAGCTGTTTCTACTCACATGGTAGAGAAATCTCTTCTTGTACTGTGATAAAGAGATTAACTTTTTTTAAGTGATTAGAAATGTTTGGAAATTGAAAAATTAATGGTAAAGCAACTTGGCAATTAGAAGGAAATACAGGAACTTAAATCATGTAATCAAAGGAACATATGCTTGGCATTTCTCCAGATTTTTATTGAAATCATGCATAGAACATAAATTCTGTCTTTATACAATACATTCCCAATGTTAGCTGTCTAGTAAAAACTTCAGAAATACAGTTGATAATACATAGAAAGGCATTTTGTTCTTTGTAAATTTTTTAATTCATCTGACACTAGAATCACTATTGCTTGGTGACCTGTTTTTTGGCTCTTTAGTTTGGAACTACTGTTCTAGCTGTTTATATTTTTTTTGTATTATATTCAGACTGCTTGTTAAAATAAGTCTTGTACATAATTATAACTATTCTGTTACTCTAATGAAGGAATTTTTGACATTTTATTTTCCTGGCTGTTATAACATGGGAAAGTATTATAATCATGTCAAATTTGATAAACTGTATTTTTTACAAGTCTCAACAGTTCGACATTTCCTGAATCCAAAAAGTATAAAAAAGTGAGAAAAGGATGTTTATGTCTGTGTGTTTCATTTAATATCTCAGGTTGGAGTAAAGATAAGAAACAAATTGACATGGTAACTTTTATATAAGGGGAACTGATGCTATTAAAGTTTTGAATACAGAAATCAAGGGGATGGGAAGATAGAGGGTGTCATATCATATCTTGAGTGGGGTCAAACTTTATGAAAATTTTACTCATTATTGGCGTTTACAAACAATATTTTTAAAAATTCATCTCTACTCTCAAAATTAAGCCTGTTTTGCTTTTAATAATAATTAATGATATAAATGTTATTTTTTTTAAACAATACCTCTTTACAGATGGTGCTACAGAATTTTAACTTTCAGTTAGTGTCAGTGTTTGCCATTTAAAAAAATATTTAAGTTTAGAATTTTTATCATAATTTAACAAAACTATAAACTATTCCTTTTAAGCTTTTGTTATTACTTTAATTTTATATTTTAGTATAATTGAAAATTATTGGACTTCCTAATAATACCCTTAACCTCTTGTTCAAGTGCTGGGAAAGTCTAGTAAAGTACTTGCCTGCTTTTTTCAGTGGTGGGATTCAAATGATTTAACTGGTTTGCTGTACTAGTGACCATTATAAGTATAAAAAACAATATTTGTTTATAAAATTTTGTGCAGGGCCTTATGATATCCAATCTCAATCATCATTGGAACCAAAATTTTGGATTTGTGTTCTGCCAGTCACAAGACTTGTGTAGTCTTTCATCTAAATGATCATTATAGTTCTATAATAAATTGTTTCCATACACGACTGATTTGCTTTTTGCTTTGAGATTTAGACTTTGTTCCAAATTTGCTGCTGCAATGCCATTTGATTTGAATAATAACCATAAACAATCAAAAACATGAACTATTTGAGAGTTAACTGATTGCAATAAACATATTTTGGAATGAATAACACTTAATGTATATTTTTCCACCATTTATTTTTAGGAAACTCGCTATTCAGTTTTTGTTATTTTAGGGAAAATAGAAATAAAATATTTTATCATAATGTAAAGTAAATTGTTTAAGAATAATCAACTTTTAATTAATTGCAGATATGATATGGAAAAATCAAATTTTAAGAACAATTTTATTCATTGATTAGTATCTTTTTGCAATTTGCTTATTCTAGTTAGAGAGACTTCAAGCTGAAAATGCTGCTGAATGGGGTCGTCGTGAAAGACTAGAGACTGAGAAATTAGCATTGGAGAGGGAAAATAAAAAATTGAGAACACAAATTGAAGATTTGGAAGAGAGGTTGGAACGAAAGACAAAACAAATGACAACAGCTTCTGATTTTGATGTAAAAGCACTGCAAATGGAATTACATGAAAAAAACAAAGTATGCATTTATGAAAGTTAGATTTTATTTTATTTTATTGCCCCTGTTGACTCTGTTTTTGCATTATATAATTATTAGTTGAAAACTTATTTAATATATGAATTTGTTTTGTTCATGACTTATTTTTAAAGTCAGAAAGTAACAACACCAAACGATCGCCTAATTATCGCGCTATAATATGGCTATTTTAAATGATTGGAACTAAGTAATTTGACAATTAGAGGTAGGCGTTAGGTGCCATCTCTTAATTAAATTAATAATTAAATAAATAATAATTAAATAAATAAATTTAGAACATTCTGGAATAAAAGAACTGGCCCGGGGCGGGGCTTGAANCTTTTTGTAATGAATTAGAGGTAGCATAATTGATATTTTGGTTTATCTCGAATCTGTAATATTTTAAATCTTCGTTGTATTAAACATAAAGGTCTTTGTATTTTACAAATTAATTGGTTATGGAAAACTTAAGTTGTATTTTCTATGAAGTCTGTCATAAATTGAGTTTATTCTATGAAATACATTCTGGAATTCTTTGGACTATATTATAAAGGCATAACGAAGCCAGTCTGTGCATAATGTTTTTAGTTTTTGACTATCATTTTTAAAATTTTTGAAGTTTTGGTTGACCCCAAAATCAACTCTGCTGTCAGTTTTTTGTGTAGAAATGAAATACACAATATCCAACATGCAATACAAAGAATTCACAGTTTGGAAGATGTTAAAAAAATTATACATCATTCCATCAGGAACTAACCAAGCATTTTACACACAAAACCAAGAATCTACAAGTCATGCCAAAATTTTTTATATGGGCATCACATATATAAAACCCAAAAACAATAACACTAAACAATCATACACAATACTGACTGATCATGTGCCTTCCTACCCTCTATAAAATACCCATTCCTTGCATCACAAACAAAATATATTATCATATAAAACAACAACATTCTCACAATATAAACACACAAACAACATATAAACACAAAATTCTCACAGAGCAACAAAAAAAAACTGGTATAAACCACATGGAATGTAAACAGTTACTTATAGATTGTCATTCTATGAACACACACACAATCTTATATGTAGCGTATAACAAATACATACTGGAAGTAGAATCAGTTGAAAAGTAAACCACCAATATAAATCCAGCAAAATTTAATAAAATAATTCTTTATTTAATATTCTATTTTTGGTAACTGAGGATGATCATTGAAAAACAATTGAAAACGTTTTTATTTTATTAAATTTTGCTGGAATAAATCCAGCAAAATTTAATTGGTGTAATTAATTTATATTGGTGTAGTTTATTTTTCAACTTATATGTAGAATATATAGATTACAGGAAGGCATTCAACAGCATCTTACACTCAAGGTTATTGCATACATCACATCTATACAAATCTATACGAAATATATCAACATTCATTACATTTTTAGAAAACACAATGTAACATTAGAGAACTCTACACCTCAAACTTTACAACTCATACATTAAACAAATCAAATATACATAAGATATGGCATTTTCTAGAGGACTTATTAAGTTCACTTTGCTTTTATATGGCCTTAAATACACTGTTCAATAAATACAGATACAACATCAAGTACAACAGAATAATGCAAATACATATTATTTCATGTCATGTAATAAATCTCTGCTGAAAAATCTATTCAGGTTCTCTGTAGGAACTGAGATCTCCAAAAGTAGTTCAGTTGTATCTCCAGGAAGTGTGAATAAACAGCATGATATGAAGAAATGGATTTGTCCCTTAGTGAAAATGGGTGAGAAACATCTGACGAAGGATTGATCTCATCAATTTAATCACAATGATTAAGCAATAATAAGCACTTTTAATAACTTACTAAGTTATTGTAAGTTGCTTTGCACTTACAATAACTTACTAATTATTAACTTTCTAATAATAACAGCAATTTTTAAAAAATTTAATTACCTTTTAAAAATATTACTTCTATTATAATAACTTATGCATTTACAATAAATAATATTTTATATATGATATGTAAGAAGAAAATTCTGCAGTTTTCTAATTATGTTTAAAAATGGCTGTTAATTATAAGCATCTATTGTAGATATATTCAATACTTAAATGGAAACAAGTATACTATTTGTTATTCTCTTTGATTATAGATAAACTTTTATAAATTTTTCTGATAAATTTTGGCATTCTGTAGTTTATAAGTGTTATGTTTGCTTCTGTAATATATATGTACAGTACATTACATTTATGCAATAATTGTTGATGAAAATATATACTCATATTTGCATTAGGTAATTACAAGTATATAAAATTTACATTTTTTTTCAAATGATTACGTGTTTATGAATGGTTTTACTTCAGTTTATTATGAAAACAGATTTAAAATAAGATTATATAAATGTTTGTAATTGACAGATTTACACAAATAATTAACAGAGGGACATAAGTGAACTAAAGTGTACTTTTTGGACTGTACCATACACATTTGAGTAGAAACCTAGCTAATTTGAATTTTCACTAATTCAGACCAAGATTTTCCCAATTACTCTGAATTGTGAAGTTCTGCTGTATTTTGTTTAAATTTATACTGAAATTGAACACGATCTTTTTGAAAGAAAAAGAAAGAAAAAAAAACTTAAATCTATATTTAGATTGAAACCTTAATTGTAAGAAAGATAAAAGTACTGTCAATAAATTTTATTGTAATGATATAAAATCTAGAAAATATGCTCTTATTTTTTCAGTTCTTTGCAAATGCTACTTTTGTCACAATAAAGAGGAATGAGTAGTTTTGGTATTGGATGGACATATGTTTTTCAGAAAAACAAATGATTCATGAATGATAATATCAAAATAATAGAACGACTTTGTCTTTTAATTTTGTAAAAAAAATCAAAATAATAATCATTTCATTAATATTATTTAATCAAAAATTTAATAAATGTTTAATTTAAATATATTGATTTAATTTCTTTTGTCTTATTAGGAATTAGCTGATTTAAAACATGCCCATGGTAAAATCAAAAAGGTTCTTCAAGACAAATCAACAGAATTAGCACATGCTTTACGTCGTTCAGAACAATATGAAGCAGAAGTTAAAAAGTTAAGAGGACGAATAGAAGAACTTAAAAAAGATTTGGCTACTGCAGAAGATGAAGTAAATAATTTATATTAAAAATACAAAACTTTATAGAATAAGTTATATAAGATTTTTAATTTTTATTTTATCAAATTTTCAGGTTGACAGTGCCACAAATAATATTCGTAAATTACAAAGATCAAATGATGAACTTCAGGAACAAGTAGAAAGTTTACAAGTTCAAGTAGAACACTTGCAAAGCAGGTAAGATATACACACTTTTAAGATTTGGGTTTAACTATTTCATCAATAATTTATTTGTGATGTCAAACACATCAAAATATTGATTTAAAATTTTGGGCTATCTAATAGAGACTCATAAGCCAATTTACTCAAAATAATTTTATGTAAAAAATTTATTTTTAATCAAAATATGTTGTTTTATTATGCAAAAATAATTTTTATTTTGAATTAATAATAATCTTATTTATTATTTGTTTGTTTTTTATAACAAATTATAAGAATGTTTTGTTAAAACGTTTTTTATACAGAGCTATAAAATATTTTAGATTAAATAATAATAACAACACTACCATGGTCACCATCTGGTCATGGTTGGGAGAGCTCAATAATTTTACTGATCCATAGAGCAATGCCAACTGGAGCACAAGCTTTTGGTATGGACACCCATGCCAGTAAGGTCTATTGGGAGAAATGAAGCTAAAAGTGACCACACATATTCTGTGGAGATAATTACCATGGTAGTAACCAGGTCTAAGTTTGATACCAGCTTTGATGTCATCTGGGTTAACAAGGTCTGCATTCATGGGTTAGGCAGAGGCTCACGAAAAATAGGCCACACTCTCCCTTGGCTACTGGAGATGAAAGCAGTGCCCACCCAAGCATGGCTACTGCAATGCCCTCACTAGTTGTGAGGGCAGTACAGTAGCCATGCTTAGTGTTTTAGTGGAAATGCATCCGTAGACTACAAAAGCTGGAAAACCAACTTATGGATGAAATGTACAATGGAAATGAATGACTTTATCATCTATGCATACTACACCATTACAAAACTCAAAACAAACATGACAGTGTACAGACAACAACTACACCATAGAGTCACACAATAATATTTTCACCTCGCTGTCACTGTACAAATGGTTGTTGATCAAAAAAGAACAATTATCCACAACCACCTTATCACAAATAACACTTGAAGATATCAAACAACAGGTTGCTGATCAATACATCAGCAGACAGAAACATTAACATTAATTAAGATCATGTAACCTACCAGTATAATCCAGCAACAAGTGCTGATAATAGCGCGCACACACGCGCACACACAAAACAACTATAGGTAATTCCCGTATAACACGGGAGTTACGTTCCAGAAAATTGCTGTGTTATGCGAATCGTGTTATACGAAACAAAGAACTAGTGCAGAAAGGGGGGTTAGGTTTCAAAAATTAAAAAACATGTTGTTAAATCCTTATTTAAATTGGATTTATTATTCATTTTTTTCATAGGTAAAATACTTATTTATTATTTAAGTAAATATTTTACCAGAGGATTATTCATTTTATATGATGATCTCAGCATGAGCACCATCAACTGGTAACAGTTTGTGGGTGAGTTCGTTAATAGCGGTCGCTCTGCAACGGGAGTGTGCTGTTGTTTGTAGGCATTTAGGAACGACAGTGAAAGAAATATGGCGGCACCCGCACTATCGATAGTATCGAGGAATCTGTAATTCTAAAATGAGCTTTTAGAGGCAAAAGAAGGGTCCCAATTGTAAAATTTAACCATTAAATTGATTATTTGTTGAAAGAGCATTCAAAGTAGCCATGAAAACAATTAGAATGCTCACGCAGAGTTAGGCGGAGGTATAAAAGAACGCACCCTTTATTACGTTTTATGTTGTACGAGAGTTTTACCCAATTCCTGAACCGTGTTAGAGTGAACCCGTGCTATAAAAGCACCGTGTTATACGGGGGATGTTCCCAATTCTTGAACTGTGTTAAGAGTGAATCCGTGCTATAGAAGTGCCGTGTTATACGGGGGTTACCTGTACCACTAATGATACTACAGACATTTCTTCATCCACCACTGATAACATAGACATAGATTTAGTTAATATGCTTTCACTTATATTTTAGGAAACACTCACTAAATATATGGGTACAGATCCCACACACAGGCCGCAAATACCAAAAATCAACATGTCTAAGGTAGTAGGAAAAATATTAAATTGTGTAAACACTCACTACCACACCATATTTATTTGATTTCTACACTCTCAGACATTTATACATTAGTTTATGCTGGGGCAGTCACAGTAGTGACACCAAGAACTGAAAATACAATCTTAGACAAATACACATAAAACACAATTCTATCACAAACCTACCTGGCAAAGAAGAATATAAATGCAAATAAATGACATTAGACAGCAATTAGGCAGGCTAACACAATACACTAAAAACAACATAATACCCAAATTAAAGAAACAACTCAAAAACATTTCAAGAAAATCAAAACACATACAAAACATGGATGTCATAACAAACATTACAGAATATATTGATACACTAAAACAAAAACTCGCAGCCAAACATGTACATGCAAACGATTCAAATGTTTGTTACTAAAACAACAAAATAAATTATATGCAAACAATGAAAAACTCTTTTACTGACAAATTAGTATCAAAACAACCACTGATACACAGAACAGTGGAACACCATCAGAAGAAACACTCGCAAATGATTGGTCTTCTCTTTGGTCCAGTGCAGTCACACACACACACTGCTGACGCAGGATTGAGGAAGGGAAAAAAAACTTGCACAACATACCAACTATGTCCTGTGCTGAAATAAACGTACATGACATCTGCTATGCTTTGAACAGAACACAACTAGAAGATACCTGGTGTAGATAACATTCACAATTTCCAGTACAAAAAGTTTACGTCACTGCACCTGGAACTAGCTAAACACCTAAAACATCATCATCAATCCATACAACATGCCAAAATTTTCTACTGTCACCTACATGAAACCTAAAAACAACAATACCACACACAATATAGACCAGTTACATGTCTTTCAACACACTACAAATTATTGATAGTATATAGCAAACAAAATATGCAAACATGTTGAAGAACACAACATTCTTACAGAACAACATAAAGGTTTGCAGGGAATGCAAGGAACAATTACTCATAGATTCAGTCATTCTATAACAAGCACACAAACAACACAGAAACATACACTATAGACTACAGAAAAGCATTCGACAGTGTTCCACACAGTTGGCTGCTACATATTCTACACATGTACAAAATACATCCATCACTCATTGCATTCTTCCAAAACACTGCAGCACTGGAGAACAACACTATATCTCAGGATTCATAACACTTCCATACAAACAAACCAAATATTCATTAGGTGAGGTGAGGAATTTTTCAAGAAGATTCCTTGAGTTTTCTCTGGTTCTGCTTAGCCCTGAACCCATTATCTAACGTTAAACTTCATCAACTCCTACAAATCACACAAATGGAGTTTGGTCTAGACAAATGCAAAATACTTCTCATAGAAAAGGGAGTCCTGAAGAAAGGAGATTTTGCACTTGGAAATGATGTTATTGAATCCATGGAAGAGGGCAAGTTCTACAAGTATTTAGGATTCCAGCAGGTCAAACTAACAGAACAACACAAATAAAGCAAAGATTAATTAAAGAATACCAAAATAGATTAAATGCTATTCTCAGAACACTGTTAAATGCAAAACACACAGTTAAAGCAATAAACACATATGTCATTCCAGTACTCATATATTCTTTTGGAGTTATACATTGGACTCACACAGATCTTGAGCAACTCCAAAGGAAAACAAGAACAACACTTACTAATCATAAACATCATCATCCTAAATCCACCACAGGAAGATTAACCCTTCCACGTAAAGATGGCAGACGTGGCCTGATTGACATAGTAAATCTCCACTACAAACAAATACAGACACTGCAAGAACAACAAAACACTACAACAAAACAAACACAAAGAAACATAAAGCAGTAATTCTAGAAGACTCAAATAATACACCATTAAGTAGTCATGGGCTTGAAAGGCACTCCATGGCAGGCATCCCTATGACCTGATCCAGGATTTTGTTGACAAAACTGCATCAAATGGCTTTGGGGAGATGTAAGGATTCATGATTGCATACAGGATCAGGTCATAAATACTAAAAACTACAGAAAACACTTTGGTCATAAATACTAAAAACTACAGAAAACATTTGTGAGTGTTGTATCATAGATACAACACTCACAAATGACATGTGCGGAAAATGTCACATCATACCAGAAACTATACACCACATCACTTCTGGTTGCAAGCTCTTGGCACAGACAGATTATTTACATAGACATAATCAAGTAGCAAATATAATACACCAAGAGCTTGCAAAGAAACAAATTTATTAGACATCCATGAACCATACTACAAATGTATTTCACAGACAGTATTAGAAAACAATGTGCACAAAATGTACTATGACAGAGCCCTAATCAATAGATAAAACAATTACCACAACAGACCAGACATCACACTTGTTGAGAAATACAATAAAATTACACACATTATATCCAAACACTCAATGTACAAAACACATGCACTGAAAAAAATCAGGAAGTACACAGAACTCACCCAGGAAATAGTCATCTGTGGAGGATGGATAGGGTACTTTTGGACATTGTGGTGTGGACAATCAGCATTACAATTCATCCCAAAAGTGTTCAGTGGGTTTTGGATTCAGGATGTTAGTAGGCCAATCTAGTTCTCAATACTCATCAAATCATGCATGGTGGATTTTGTTTTGTAGATGGATGTGTTTTGTTGGTACAAAAATGGACCTTCACTAAACTGTTACCATAATATTGAAATACAGGGTTGAGAATATCATAACAGCATTGTACTTGTTATCATTGGAACTAAAGGTCTTATCCCAAACCATGAAAAGAAGCCCTGACCATTTTGCTTTCTCCATCATACTTTACAGTTAGAGTACACAGGCAGACAAATGACATTCACTGGGCATCCTCCAAACCTAAATTCATTCAAAATCATATGGTGAAGTATAATTTACTGCCTACAAATTGCTTCCACTGTTCAACAGTTTAGTGGTGCCAAACTGCACCAGTCCAATTGATGCTTGGTAGTGGCTATGCTGATGTTGGCCTTTGTGCAGATGCTCAACCATGGGAAACCATTGAATGTAGTTTAACCATAGAACTAGTGTTGGAACTCTTGAATTAGTATTGCAACTGAAGAAAGACTATTTTGATGCACTGTCTACTACAGCACTCTGTGACTGTAATCTGTCATTTTATATGGTCTACTAGATCATAGCTGCACTATGGTTGTTCTCGAATTCGAGTGGAAATATCATAGAACAACATAATAGTATCTCAATTATGGTATCTGAAATAGGGCAGATGTTTTCCAAACAGACTTGTTGCTTAGGTGTCATCCAGTAGTCATGCCATGTTGAAAATTACTGAGTTATTTTGTAGTTGTTGGATACATAACTTAGCTGTGACATAGATGGGAAATCAACTACGTGCATAGGTGTCCAAATACAGATAGTATATATAAAATTATTATATTTATGTTTGCAAATATTTAACTATATAAATAATCTCAATATATTAGTGGTTATTCATTTAAATAAATAACAATGTGTAAATATCTGCTATCAAGGAAAATCTTATATTTTAATAAAAGTTCTAAATGGAATGTATCGTACATTTTATGACTATGTTATATATCTTTGATAACAAAAACAATTTAAAGAAAGAATAACTAAACTCATTAATAGTGTACTAAAATTTTAAAATTAATTTATTAAATATATTTATCATATTTTATGGCATATAAGATGCACTTCCATTTTAGTACAGAATATTTAGGAGAAATTATTTAGTGTATTTAATTAAGCTATCTTGCAACTTTGGCCCCAGTTTTTTTACTGTATTCTGGTTAAACATTAAAATTAAAATGCAAACTTTTATTTATTAAGGAAGTAGAGAAGTTTAAAGGAAGTCATTTACAATTAAAATTTACCATTAAAATATTCAATATGAATACATGCAAAAGCAAATAACATTTTTATTCATCATTATTATTTAATTGAAAACTCTCAATGATGATGATAACTTCTAACTAGCCCACCTGCTATTATTATCTGTAGCATACTGAAGGCCATTTTGGGAATTCATTAATCTATCAGAGGTTGCAGCTTCACATATAACATACATTTTGTTTGTTTTTTTTTTATGGAAATTGTGTCTTATATGCTGTAAAACATGTTTGTAATAACTTGATATGATAGTAATTAAATTAGAGAACTTCTATTTTTAAAGTTACAAAATAGAGACTACAATGGTATAAATCTTATTTTAGAAATAAAAGATAAGATAGTTTATCTTATTTCTAAAATAAGATAGCATACCATTCTGAGAGGTTATTTTGAGTAAATTATTTATCTTTTATTTTAGAAACTTACTAAAAATGTTAAGCATTTGCATGAAGATGCATGTTGGAAATAAAGATTGAAGAGAGATACTGTGTTAGATATCCTCAATTTTTGTTTATTCAATAGTAAACAAATTTTTTACTGTTACTAACTGCAAGCATATTGTGAATATACTTAAAAATATATAATTTGAAAAAATACAGGGAATATGTTCTTTTAATAAATTGGATATATAAACATAAGATGATAATCAACTGACAAAATTTTAAAAAATTATTTCTGTACGCATGATTGATTCAGAATAATTTTACATTTTGTATCAACATACTTAGTCTTTGTTGGATAGCCTTTATAAAAGAGTAAATTTTATTAATTATGCATGTAATTATTTGTTTTAATTATTTTCAACAAATTACACTTTTATACACTTTAATTTTCTTTTAAATGATGATCTGGTCTAACGTAAGGGAAACAGGACACAAATGAATCTTTCTTTAATTTCTTTTTTTTCATGTACCTGTACATAGAGAGAGGGAACCTGCAAGATCTTCCCCAACTCTGGTTAGTACTAACATTTTACAACTTGAGCATGCTGTATTGTATCTCTTAACTCTGATCTATTGAAGTAATGCTTCTGGGTTATTCTATCAATAATTAGCATTATAGATACAAAGTAGACAAATTTCAGTGTTTATTTTTCATTTATTGATAAGGTTGAGGAACCTACCAAGCCATGTCCTGCTAGCCCGCCACACGAGCAACAGCCTGCAGGGGGAGACCTTCAGTGAAGACGACATTGCAGATTATTAAACGAAGAATATTCTGCCATGTACGTGAATTACCTGCTGTTCCAAACAAAGTGTGGAATTAACGACCAATTTACCTTGGAGTGTCCCCAAACGTATTAGGTATTTATTATCTTTAGCTAATGCCGATAATCTTTTTTATCACCAGTCCCGTTTTATATACAACATTATATTCTATTATCTATTTTGTAAATTATTGATTAAAAATATATAAAAAATTGTCAAATTATATATTGGAAAATTTATCTTGCTGAATTGAATGTATACATGTATGAGAATTGTAAATCTTGTAAATTTTAATTTCAGCATTTATTGTATAATTTGATAAAGATGAGAAATATTACTATTGCTTTTTGTATTATAATTTATAATTGTATATATTGATATATATTATGTTTTTCTCATCTAAACATTGTACAAATTATTTTTTTTAAATGCTATATTTGTTATTATTGCAAAATTTGAGTTTATAATATGTTCTAAATGAAAAATTTAAAATGCAGTACACATTTATTAAACTGAATTAATAAATGTAATGTAATATGCTTATTTTACAAAAATGCATTCAATGTATTGAATTTTGTTTTCTATCCTGTATTTCATTAAATAAGAACATCATTAAAATTTTTAAGAGAAAACTGTGATAAAAAAAATAGTTTTGAATTTTTTTTTAATTCAAAAAGTTGTAGATAAAATTATTCATTTATTTACATTTTTCATTTAAAATTCAAACAATAAGTTAGAATTTAAACTATATATGATACAGAAACTTATACTTCCAAGGATTTTTAATAAAATTAGCATTTTATTATAGTTTTATAAATAGTTATATAATAAAGTAGATAGGCTAGTTGACACATTTCAACAGACCTGTTTAAAACAAATTTGAAAGATTTTAATAAGAATATTTGCAATAAAAATAAATATTAATAAATTAATACATGTAAATTTTTATGAATAGAATTTACAATACATAAGAAAACAGAATTATGAAATGTGTTTTAATTAACAAACCCAAATTTTGAAGCCTAAATAGTTTTTTCTGTAATATGTAGTGTTTTTCCTGAAAGCATAAACTGATTAAATCACTTAACTGCTGTATAAAAACACTAAATAATCACCATGAAAACCTTTTAGCAGTAAGGAAATTAAATGTTGCATTTAATTATCAATACAGTAGAACCTCGAAAACTCGGCTCTCGATAACCCGGCACTCCGGATAACTCGGCCACACCCTGGCAGGGCAAAAAAATCCTTAGTTAATTAATTTTCATTATAGACAGCTTTATAAAAGTATAAAAGCTCTCATAAAGTATTTTTCTGAGGTCTGTCTTATCAGGTAAATTACTGTACACAGTGTATTCATTAATTTTCATTTTCATGTAGTAAAGGCTCTATGCCTTCATAAAGGACGTACTTTTCCTTTGTTTAAGGGTATTTGGGCAGTTTATTCTCTGTTATATTCTCAAGTAAACAATACATACAAGTACAGTACAGTATTTTCTGAGGAAACACTCGTACTTATTTTTTTTAACCCCATTCCCGTTAACCCGGCATTTTCATAAACTCGGCCACCCTTCGGTCCACATTAGGCCGAGTTTTCGAGGTTCTACTGTAATAATATTTTTAGTCATTTTAAGAATATATCGTGGTCCTGGATTTTGTAAATCTATCCTTCTATGAAGATACAATCAAGTTTTTGCATATTGAGGGACCTTCTAAGCATAGTCAGCTATCCATACCTTGTTTGTTTATTTTATTTCCAATTTGCTGGCAATACTTTCATCCAGAAAAGGGTGTCTCAATGAACAGACTCCTGGTTGGTCTGTGTAAATTGGAGGGAAACAATCATCAGCATAATTGAATAATCTACATAAATAATTTTCTATAAAAGATATGTTGTTGAAATAGTTATATGATCCTAAAAAATTGAAAATGACAAATTCACATCAGCAAATGACAGCCAGGTGGCTAAACGGTCAAGAAGACTCCCTATCCTAGGGGACGTTGGATCCAATCCAGACAAGTTAAAACCCTAACAATTTTTCAGGGAGTGGATCCGTCCAGATATATTTGGCCCTGTCCCATTTTAGGTCTGGCCAAATAGGCCCTCTTAGTGGTTACAGGGAGAAGAAAATTGAAAAAAAAGAAAGAAGAAACATTCTACAGTAACAAATTATCTGTTAACCTTGAATGTGGAAGCCACAAGGAAGTACATTTTATTGACATCCACTACTACTGATAGAAGGGAGATAAACTTGCCAACTCCTGAGAATTGATTCTAGAAGTTGACAAGGAGTAAAAAATTTTCAATGTTTCATTTTTCACTCTCCAATGTCTGTGCTATTGCATATACTATAATCTGTTATACATTTCAAAAGTTGATCATTTGATAGTCAGAGAATTAAAAAGTTTTTTGCTAAATTTTAAGAAATCCAGGAGTGTTTGCAACCTAAGGACAGTCACGTGACATTTGACAATTATGTAACTGGTAAAATGAAATGGAGTGTTATGATTGGATGAAAAAGATAGTAATGATGTATGTGACTTTTTAATGCTTGCTCTTTTAAGTGGCATAACGCATAACAGTGTGCTTGAATGGATTTTCTAAGAAAAGCAACACAAATTCTGCTAAATGATTTATTTATATATGTAAAATACCCAGAAGAAACTAAAGTCCTCTTCACATGGTCATGTCCAATCATCAGGAACAAAGTCTTCCTTTAAAGGGACCTTTAAAGAAAATGATTAGTGCCAATAGTTAGCTAATATCAGTTCAAAGAAAAAGTTTAGCATTCAGAACAATAAAAATTTTATGAAACCGAAGTTGAACTTTCACCTTTACGATGGTAGAAATGACAAAATCACCAAGAAAAATACTTCGGTTAATAAAAATGTCTCCCGAAGGCAATCGAAATTCCTTGGAGAGAAGGCATAATGTATTGAATTACGGACGAAAGTTCCAACGTTCGTTAAATATCATCCGGTTGATGTCGAGAAGCAGCGTCAAATTGAATGTTGATACCGACCTTTCTCGAAACGTCGAAATTTGAAAAACTCGGAAGGTTACATTTGACACGATTCAAATACTTCTCGTGCTATATTATACACATAACAAGCCGAGAAAGTAAAAACACGCAAAACGGGACATTCACTGGAAATTGGGGACGCTAGGTCACACTAGTAACATAACATTCAACTTAAATTTAGTGTATTTCAAATAACAACATCATCTGACATTCAGAATCGTTCGCCATAAATGGATTTCTACACAAGATCTGTTGTTCCCTTAATTGTTTTGACCAGTGTAGGCGATGGAGGTCGATACATTAAGAAAAATTAAGATCCAAATTTCCAAATAATGTACATATAAGTTAAATGAATAAATAAAGCATATTTGTCTCGGTTTTAAATATAATTTCGTTATAATATTATGGTATAAATTGGTTTGAGGCTGGTAAGCTGGATAGCTTATTTTACAAAAGTTGGAAAGTTTAGCAGATGTTGAATTTCATAATCGACCTAATGTAACCGTGGAAATTCGTAAACAGAAACGTATGAAAGATTTGCAAATTTTGCATCTGCGACAATGAATTTAGCGAAAACCCAAACAAAAAGTCTTGGTTTTTGCTAGATTTTTCTATAAAGTCTTTTATTATATAAATAATAATCTAGCAACGAGTTACTCAATTTTCTAGGCAATATTTAAAGTTTGGATGGCGCTATCTGTTATCCTATTTTATTAAAAAACTTTTTACATTTTTAACTATTATAAAATGATAAAAGCTTAATTTTGGGGTTAGGAATGATTTTTAGAAAAATATAAATGCTAACAACGAGTAAAATCGCCATTAAGTCCGACCCTACTGGAGGTACACACGACTCCATTATCTGCTACCCCTCGACCTTTAACCACCAAAATTTAAACGGCATCAATTCCCATAATAAACGAACCGCCCCGCAACATTTCAGAAATTTTCGACATAAAGCACAAGACTTGTTAAGCTCCGAAGTTGGTGAGCAAAATCGTGCCCCCCACACTAACATCCTTACATACAGAAATTACCCCCGAAATTTTTTGCCTTTCTCGATCTTTCAAGGTATCCTACGTCCAAAAGAAATCTCGGGGTCATTTTTTGACTGATTGCTATACATTCCCTCTGTTATACTGTATATAACAGCTGGGAAAATAAAAATAAAACTATTATTTAAATAAGCTTAGTTTCAATTCCTTCAACGTTTAAATAGTATACAGGGCGATTCAGAAGGTGTTACACAAACTTTAAAGATAAGTTAGGAATATAAAAGCAAACCATTTCTACCTAGGAACATATAGCCTGAAATGCCACCCGAGTGTTTTAATATGTTGTATACCTTATATATATTCCTTTCTGCTTTATTCTTCCCGTACTTCTAGAAACTCCGAGTGGTGTTTGCAACCAAATATTCCTAGATCAAAATGGTATATTTTTAAATTCCTGACGTAACTTTATAGTTTATGTAAGACCTTTTGAATCACCCTTTATTGTGTTCTGTTTTAGTACTGTATATAGCATATACTGTAATAGTACTGTACAATAGTATATGATAGATGTACTTTCAAAAAATTTACGTTAATACAAATACTTGTACCTTAATCCGGATGGTCGGGGGAGGGGAAATAAATAAATAAAACCTTAATTATCAGAGGACAATGCAGAAAGTTTTCGCATTGTAAGAAATTTGACAAATATCAAAGTATAATTTTCATAACAAACGATTGCTACGGTTTAATAATTATTTATTTCGGTAGTTTACGAATAAAATATTTACACGAGTTTAAAATCATATAAAATTGTTCTTTGAACAATTAGACTTTGTTAATGATAAATATATTAGATACAAAAGATAAACTTTTAAATAATTTTGAATAAGATTTTGATCGTTTATAATTATTATAATTCTTGATTTACGAAGAATGAAATTTGAATTTTGCAATGTAATTTTATGTAACAGAGGATGAATTTTAATTCGGTTCTAATCTTTCCGATAATTCATCCATTATATTTTTATCAATGTGTTGGATATAATCTAATTCTTCAGAACTTCGGTCCACTTCATTTTCGTCCATGCATTTATCGAAAGTTGAGTTTTTAGCTGCACATGGACAGGCTGTTGAGAGAATAAAATCAGTTTCTTCAACTTCATCGTCAATTATACATATTTTATTATAATCGTTGGTCTTATCTTCATCATCCTCTTCTTTCTGCATTTTTTCAGTTCCTTCTGCTGTTTCTAAAGATAATTTATTCTCCTTTTCCTCTTCCTCCTCTTCCTCATCAGCGTCGTCGTCATCCATATCGATTAGACAGACTTTCTTATCACACGGTTTACCCGATTTAGATAATTCTCCATTGTTTTTTACCACCGGTGAACTAGATGATGAATCCGAGAATAATTTTTCTTCGCCATCGCATATGCAGCATTTTATTTGGGCATTTTTCTCACATAACACGCAAACGATCTTCGAATTCTCTAGTTTTTCACGTTTACATTCGGGACAAATGGTTTCAAAGGTTAGACTTAGATTGCCGTGATTACATTTAGAAAAATCTTTCTTCTCTAATTTACAGAGTGGACACGACTTCTTGTCGGCCATAATTCTGTTGTGATAAAAGTCTATAATATACAACAATGAAGAATCATAATTGTTAATTTTAATATTATGGCGTTAGAATGTACAGTACAGGTATAAATTTATGATTGTTATTTATGCTAATTTTTATAAATAAGAATCAACGTTACATTTTCTGTATTACAGAAATACAAAGCTGCCTCGCTTAACGCTGATTCGATATAATTCGTTCTGCTCGAAGCCGAAAAAAACCTCGAAATTTACACTGATTTAAATTATCGCGGCATTTCATTGATTCGTATATAATACGATTATTTGCGAATACAAACCAATCAGCAAAAGGTGGCAAAAAGGTGTACTTTCTTTAAATCTATGTTTGATGCAGTTTTGGAAAGAATATAACATTATGGATTTTTCCCCAGAATGGAGTTACATAGATGACCGGCATGACCGAAATTAAGATAAATTTACTTGACAATTCTCACAAACCCATGATTAAATTATTTTACTATGTCCAAAGTTTCCAATATTCAGTATCTGTTGATACTTAAAAAACTATAAAAATTTATAATGATAATTTAAAAAATGAATATTTTCATGGAAAAATCACACGAGCCTCAATGCACTTTACTATAAGATCATGCATCTAACAGAATAAGGTTTTGATTTTCTTTAATAAAAATTATATTTAGGTTTAAATCATTAATATTATATTTTAAATTAATATATAACATACACGTAATTAAATTCGTAAATACCTTTGAAATTATTATACGCAGTAATTCAAGAAGTACAAATATGTTCACATTATTTATTATGTTTAAACAGATGTTTTAATTATAAAGTAAATATGAAGGACGGTCGGATGGCGCCCCTCTGGAGAACCCGGGATCGAATAAGGGGGGGTCAATACCACAAGAATTTTTTGCAGACATATGTCTCTCACTAAAAGGGCCTAATTTAATCTTACGCTTCATGAGTTTGACCAGGCCTACAATGAAGGACACCCGGTCAAACCCACGATCCATATGATTAAAACAGGTTCTCAGTGCCCACAGAAACTGAGAGGGCCTGAAGAAACTACTGGTTAACTAAAATATATAAATTGCACTTATATTATGAAAGTACTACAAAAGTTAAAAATTCATTTAGGTTGTGTAATCATGTTTGAATTTAAACGAGATAAATTCCTGCAACTGAACAAACAAATTAGTCATTTTCTTTTATTCATAAACTAAATATTTTTAAATATAATCATTTTAAATACACATCTGATTGCTTTCCATCTAAAATTTGCTAATGATTAAACATATCTGTAAATTCAGTAATTACATATAAGATTAATCTAGTATAGAATTCATTGTCATCTCAAACAGCAGTAAATACAAATAAAAGTAGTTATATATTTACATTTTTTCTTATTATCTAAATCTAACATAGAAAACCAAGTTTTATAGCAAAATATCTCGAAAGTATATTTAAAAAAGAGATTAAATCGTTAAAGCAATAGAGAAAATACTACCGACATTGTCAGTCGTTTGTCTCTGTCTCGGTTTTCATGTCTAGGAGTTCGTCTCGTCTAGTTTGTCATTGTGTTCGTTTCCTTTTCGCGCTGTCTGTCTAGCTGTTAAGTAGTATTAAGATTCGCGATCGCGTTCAGTTTTATTAGTGTTAAGTAGATATAAGTCTTCCTACTAACAGCCACTTGGCACTAACTTCTACACTTAGCTATTCGTGGCGGCACTCAATTATTGGTGTTCGCTACACTCAGGTTTACTTTCAGACCCTTTGGGGGACTACGGCCTTGCAGCATAAAAACTGCACTCCGACGTCAAACATAGAGGGTACTGTAGCCTTATGCACGCCGTTTAGAGGGATATTACCTTTCTTTACTATCTATCTTCTCTCCCTCCTTCTTCCCCCTTTCCCTTACCCTCTTTTCTGCCAGCTAAACACTTCGTGTATGGCCGGTATCTTTCATGCTAAACATCTACTTTGCCGTAAAGATTTCTCGTCGTGTCATTCTGTCCGTAATTCTCATTACTTGTTCGCAGAATACACTTTGATACTTTGACTATCTAAATACCGATTTGCTATCGAACAAAATTTAATAATCTGTAAAATTTGGAATCGTTTTCAACTACAGTAGAGCATCGATTATCCGACCCCCGATTAACCGTCACATCGGTTAACCGACCGTTCTAGTCGGTAAATTTCAAATGTCCGCTAGTGATGTGGCATTACAATATTTAGCTATGTTTTGGCTACTTTAATATTATTTTTGTTAAATATTTGCGTGTTTTAGCTGGCATCAACGGCTCGACCATTGAAGGGAGGCCAGTATTTAAACTAAACTTAATTTTCTAATTATGAGTGGTTGTTTGTTTTGTAAGCAATAAAATAATTTAAAAATAATTTTTAACGATACAATAGCGACGATTATTATTTTGGAAAAAAATTTGTTAGGCTAAACATCAATGAAAATTCAACGCAAAGTTGGTTGATAGCGATATACTAATAAATTAATTACATGGGATATACTAATATCCTAATATACTATATTAATAATGTATTTTTTTATTCTTTTCGGTTATCCGATTTTTTCAGTTATCCGACCAATCTGAGTCCCCAATTGAGTCGGATAATCGATGCTCTACTGTATATTTAATCGTGGCCTACAGCCTATCGTAATCGAATGAAATTACGTTTGCACTGACTTAACACAATTGTCTGCAACAATTGATCATTTAGACTCATCAGATCACAATCTACTAAGAATTTCTAATCAATCTTGAAATCCTATAGTTTTAGATAGAGATTCTTACATGTATAATTGATTTCCACATAATTTCCGATCAATTTTTAATTACATTATAATTAAACATAAAAAATACTTAAAACTGAAAAAAAACGAAAGAAATGCATTAATTTTGAAGAAAAAGCTTCAAATTTTATTTTCCATTGTCTCCCCTTTCTGTGAAATTTGACACCAATGAGTAATTGTGTTTACAGCTGGATGACCTTGAGAACAGCTGGTGTTGGATTTCCCGGGACATTCTCATAGAATTCTCGGGAGGATAAGGGTTTAAGGTAGGGTGAATACTAGCTGGCCGTATATTTTTTAATATTTTTAAAAAATTAAAATTTTTATTGCGATTTCCGACCTCCCCCCGACTTAATTAAACGTATATATAATAAAATATATTAATTTAAAAAATTAAAAAACTATTGGAGGTCGTTTTTGATATCAGAAACTAGCTTTAAATAACTTTACCGAAGTAAAATCCGTGCACTACAACTTTAGAACAATGAATGAAATTTGATTAAAAAAAATCCCATTAAAAAACAATTAATTGTTAATCATGCATCATTAAAGGTAGATTAAAATCGCGATAAAATTTTTTCGCGCGGGAAAAAAATTTTTGAAAAAATTTGGAGACCTAAAAAACATCCAAAAATTGAAGAAAAAATTTTTTAGGGGCGAAAGGACCGAGTTTTCTGTAACGCTATGTAAACTTGACGAGTTATCTCGTCAATGGGGAGGATTAATTACTAATAATTTTTGAGTGGAAGTTATTAAAGTTTTGTATTTTATTCTTATTCTTCGTTTTAAGTCCAATATTCCATTAAGTCTAGTATTATATATTGAGATGGTTTGATTTGGTTTGATGGGACACCTTGGACGATCTGTCTAGGGTACTGTACTTTCATAGTGATCACCGTTTCAGCTTTTATTCAGTTTGGGCTATTTGTCTTAATTTTATCATCATTATTTTATGTTATCGGTCCAAATAGGTCAAAACGAACTTAATTAACCGTTAATATATCATCTACACCGACGATGCTGAACCTTTTTGAATCCGCGTGGCATATTGTAAGTATTATTATCTTTAAAAATGTTAATGCGTGTCGAAGTTTTTGACTTCGAATAACGATTTTAATTAAAAGAAATCAAATGAATATTCTATATAATAAATGTGAAGAAGCTGATTGAGAAAAGGGTGATTAGAAATAAATATAAACCGGCAACAAAATTCAAAATTAAGATAAATTTTAACAATAAAAGAAATCGTATGATACCATGTGTGCCAGATAATTTTTTCTCGCGTGCCATAGGTTTGTCATCCTTTATCCATACGGGTTACATCATTGTTAATAAATCGTGGCTGCAGCCAATTGTAGTCGAATGAAATTACGAAATAAAAGAATGTAAATAAAGCAGAAACTATTTAACTTCGCCATTTTTCATATCGATGCCAGTTCTGCATTTGACACGGTAAGTTGTAAAGTTTCTCAGTCTTAGTTGTAAGTCTTTATTTTTAGCTACGTTTTAATAAATTCAAAATTATGAACTACGACAATTTAAGCAATTCGAATCATTTTTTACATCTGTCATAATTATTAAATTAGCGAAACAAATCTGAACTAAGGGACTTTCCTTAGAGATGGATTGGTACATTTTCTAAAACAAGACAAGTGCATTAGTATTTCTAACTAAACCTGGACATAGGGCTTACGGAATTTTAGCGGAATGTCCTAAGTCAGAAAAATGGAATGCGGCCCGAGTGAATTGATCATAAATTTTGGAGAAATAAAAAAATATCATTGTATGATTTTTTCGTTGTTTCTGGTATTTCCTTTTGTGAAAATCAACTCATAAGATCGATGTATGAGTCTTTACAAAGATGATTGTCTATTTTGTGCAGAATTGAAATGATATTTCTATACAAACTTTTTCAAAAAGCATGAAAAATTTATATTAAAATATGAAGCATAAAAACTTAGGTTTATACAACTCGTGTACATTATAACGACGTAATGTACAGTACATATATAATAATAATGTATAAAACATACTCGTATTTTATAATGCATTAAAATTACTTTTTCACCTCAATTATATATAACAAAGGGAAAGTATGGCGATCGGTCAAAAAAATTACTCTCCCAACATTTTTACATTTTGGGACCCAGGAGAGCTTCAAACGTCGAGAAATGCCAAAAAAACAAATATTTTTTTTCCTGTATGTATATATATTATTTTGTCTGTGAGTGTATGGAAGGCACTATTTTGAAGCTTAATAATTCCGTACTTTTTGTCGAAAATTTCAGAAATTTTTCAGGGAGGTTTGTTTACTAGGGGGATTGATGGTATTAAATTTTGGTGGGTAAAGGTCAGGAGGGAGGAGATAGAGGGAGTCGCGTGTCATATCTCGAGTAAGGTCGGACTTTACGATGATTCTACTATGACGATTTTACTCGTTATTAGCGCGCGCACATACACACACACATATATATTTTAATATAAAACTCATTCCTGTTCTTAAACATTAAGCTTTTTGCCGTTTTATAACATTAAAAAATAAAAACTTGTAAGTAAAATATCTTAACAGATGGCGCCACACGCAGTTTTAAATGTTGTTGGAAAAGTTAAGTAACTCGTTGCTGGATTTTTCGTTATGTGTCAGTTAAAAAGGTTTTAAATTGAAACCAGCTGATGACAACATTTTGTTTTTCGTTATCGACATGTTTACTGGAGTTTTACACGGTGAGAAGTTTTTAATTGTTGAATAAACATATGGTAAGTCTGTTGTTGGTTCTGTTTGAATCAAATATTTAACTAATCAATTAAACAAAAACAAGTTCAATCCTCACAACATACCGGTTGATTATAGAACTATGCAGCTGGGCTTATATTAGTTGAAAGTAATTCGACCACGCATACGTATGAATTATGTGCATTTAGTTTTCGTATGAAAGTATTGCAGATCCGAAATGAAGTATCGTATAACCAATACACTGTGTACCGCCTGATACTTTTTCTACAATCTCCTAATGGTTCTTTACACAATATCCTGTAGCTCAAGACTTATGACTGACTATTTTAACATATCATTGTATGTTCATTGTAATTCTGGCTATTAAACAAATACATAACGCGCTGGTTCTAAAAGATAATTGCTGAGACTGTATTATGTATAGTTTCTGTGCTTTCATTTTACAGCTACAGTTTCAGCACTTTTAAGTCATTGATATACAAACTATGAGTCAGTGAAAAATTAAAAAAAAATAATAAATTATAGCATAAAATAGTAAAAGTGAAATAATCAACCCTCAAACCACGCCATTATTGAATAATTAGAATAAAAAAATACTAAAGAAAATAATTGGGATGGTAGAGGAGAAGGTGGTATTATGGAACCCCAATTACATTTTAGTGAATTGTAAACAAGGTATCATAACTACACCCACATTTTTTGTGCGAAAAGTACCGGTAACTAGTAAACTAAATGTTCCTAATTGGATTTTTCGCTAGTGTAATTATAAGTATGGTTTTTGAAGGCTTTTGTACAAAAAGTCCGAAAGTAGGCTTAGAGAAAATCGGGTGGTAATATGGAACCTTACTGTATATTTTCAAAAAAATGCTTTAATGTAGCCAAAAACAAATAGGAAAGGACAAAAAATGTTAAATAATTACAAAATTATTTACTCCAATGTATTTTATCGCAAAAATGCTTTTATAATAGAAAAATATGACCTCCATCAACAATATATATTCCAGCAGCTCTTTTTCGATATTCTCAGGAAGAATTGGCTTTCTACCTAGTGTCTTTTTCACAAATTGCTCTGGAGGAATGTCTGCTTGCAAATAGAAAGTTCGGAGGAGTTGAGTTCCATATTACTGTAAAAGCACCAATGGGGTCCGTATTTCACGCATCGCCATCTCGAATTAACTTATGTCTGTCAAGACCAAAATTTAAAAAACGTGAACATCACACAGATTAATATGTACCCCTAAGTCTCTGGAACGGAATACATGCACCAGTGAACCTACAACTACACGATTTATATTTTAAAAATAATTAAATTCACTTAGCATTCAAAACTTGTGAATTTTGAAAAAAACAAATTTGCTGATTAAATACGGACAACTGTTTAACTGAAGTAAAACGGGTTTTCCCCTTGCTATGGATGTCTGCCTAGTTCAGTTCAGCCATATTCCGCTACAGTTCGCCTTTATTATCAGTTTGAAATAGGGTGGTTCCATAATACCCGCAGTGTTCCATAATACCACCTTCTCCTCTACCAAATTTCTATCTAAAAATAATGAGCTGCCATTAAAAACAACTTTGCGAAATACCGTTCTAAACTTCCAGAATCAAAATTTCGTTAATAAATGGATTGTATTGTATTGATGAAATAAGGCAACCAACACTTTTATGATTTGCGAAGGGGATTCCACCTGTGATGACTTTCTATGGGAAAAATGACCCCTATTTAAATGTTAGACACGTGAAAACTGCCCTGAAAACTCCACGTCGCCATCTCGATAAGACGCAAATCGCAACCAAAATTAGACCTACCAGTGTTTATCCTCGCGGTCATTGGCGGGAAAGTCATATAAATGAAATTGGATCCGAAATTGTTAGATCTATGTGATACGTTTTAACTTTTATTAATTTAAGTTACTTTTATATATTTATACAATGTTATACTCATACCAACATTAATCGCAATTAAATTGCAATTAAATTAATAATTACATCTTTCAGAATTTTTCAGTATGATGAAGACACCGATTAATCTATTATTGATTTCGATATATGCAACGCTGTTTCCACTTTATTCAAGTCAGGTGGACAATGATTCCTTGAACACTCATAAATCCAAAGATAAGATATTATTGTGTTTAAATATCAATAAAACGAAAGAATGCATAATTTTCATTAATAGGTATGTTAATTATCAATAGTTTTAAAATTAATCTCATACTAATTTATGATTTTATTATTCAGTTCCAATATTGTTAATCTACTGAATGCAAACTTACATTGTGTTAACAATACTCCGAATACTCACAGTTTAAGTATTAGTAATCTGATCAGCAATATTTTACCTACAGGAGTTAATGTTAGTAATCCATTGCAAGGAGTATTCATATTTCCAGGTATGAAACTGCCAAATATTTTTGACATATTGAATTTTAATAAAGTTTGTAGCCTAAAAATTAGTATAATTCTTAGGAACTAAATGGTGTGGACCGGGAAGAAGAGCAAAAAATGACTCGGATCTGGGTATATTCAAAAAAACTGACTCCTGCTGTTGACAGCACGATAAATGTCCGGTAGTGATTAAACCTGGAGAAACCAAATATAACTTAACCAACAACGGTCTTACTAGCCGGTAAATTCTTAAATATTTTTTGTATCGTTAACGCTAAAAGCATAATTAATTTCGTATCCAAAAATATAAATTATAAATATTAAAATTATTATCCTTTGAAAAATTTGAATTAATTAAATTTTTCTTTTAGAAACATTTAATTGAAATTTTTCTCAAAATCTAAATGGAAATATGCATATTTGTGTACACATATATTTCTATTTAGATAACATTCACGTAAATTAATAATTACATTTAAAATGAAATTTATAATAATGCCACTATGATTAAATCAATATTTCTTTTGTTTTATTAGACTGTCTTGCGAATGTGACCGGCAATTTCGCCAATGTCTTAAAACTGTAAACGAGGAAGAATGTGGTATTCCTGCTATCGTAGAAGTGCTTTACTTCGATGTAGGCCGACAAAAGTGCATAAATTGCACCCAAACAGACAACACTTCTTCCAATAGGTGAGTATCGAAACGATTAATCTGATAATAATTTATGATTTAATTATTCAGTTCCAATATTGTTAATCTACTGAATGCAAACTTACATTGTGTTAACAATACTCCGAATACTCACAGTTTAAGTATTAGTAATCTGATCAGCAATATTTTACCTACAGGAGTTAATGTTAGTAATCCATTGCAAGGAGTATTCATATTTCCAGGTATGAAACTGCCAAATATTTTTGACATATTGAATTTTAATAAAGTTTGTAGCCTAAAAATTAGTATAATTCTTAGGAACTAAATGGTGTGGACCGGGAAGAAGAGCAAAAAATGACTCGGATCTGGGTATATTCAAAAAAACTGACTCCTGCTGTTGACAGCACGATAAATGTCCGGTAGTGATTAAACCTGGAGAAACCAAATATAACTTAACCAACAACGGTCTTACTAGCCGGTAAATTCTTAAATATTTTTTGTATCGTTAACGCTAAAAGCATAATTAATTTCGTATCCAAAAATATAAATTATAAATATTAAAATTACTATCCTTTGAAAAATTTGAATTAATTAAATTTTTCTTTTAGAAACATTTAATTGAAATTTTTCTCAAAATCTAAATGGAAATATGCATATTTGTGTACACATATATTTCTATTTAGATAACATTCACGTAAATTAATAATTACATTTAAAATGAAATTTATAATAATGCCACTATGATTAAATCAATATTTCTTTTGTTTTATTAGACTGTCTTGCGAATGTGACCGGCAATTTCGCCAATGTCTTAAAACTGTAAACGAGGAAATTCCTGTGGTATTCCTGCTATCGTAGAAGTGCTTTACTTCGATGTAGGCCGACAAAAGTGCATAAATTGCACCCAAACAGACAACACTTCTTCCAATAGGTGAGTATCGAAACGATTAATCTGATAATAATTACTTAAATATTTTGAAATTAATTATCTTAAACCTTTCTAGTGAACAACCGACGGCATCAAATGCTACTAAATGCCATTATCAAGATCTGGAACCTTACCCGTAAAAACAATGTTCGGAATTTCTATTGAAATATAGGCTATTATTCTTCTAGCATTACTTTTAAATAAATATTGATTAATTGACAACTTATTTATTTTTCTTTAAATGTCTCCTTTAATTTCTAAACGAAAAAATAAATGATGTTCGTAGCATAAATAATAGATGTACTACATTCCATTCTTTTTGATAATTTTAAAAATCCAGCTTTAATTAGTTGAGAAATATTTTATTCATTTTAAATACACATCTGATTGCTTTCCATCTAAAATTTATTAATGATTAAAATATATCTTTAAATACAGTTCATTCATATAAAAGTAAGAATCATCTAGTATTGAGTTCATTGTCATCTCAAACAGTAGCAAATACACACAAAATTAGTTTATAATTTATATTAGGTTATTGTTGCTTATTACCTTAATTAATATAGAGGAAAAACAATAAGTTTTATATGAAAATATCTCGAAATCATATTAAAAACTGGACTAAATCTTCAAAGCAATAGAAAAAATAGCAGCGACATTGTCAGTAATCTTGTACAAAACTTGAATAAAAAAATTTAATTGCTTTACAATGAATTTAAACACTTGTTGAATCTATTTTTTCAGACGAACAAATATGGAAATAACCCAAATATTTAACCTATTTCATAGTTAAAATGAGAAAAATGATTACATAAATTTATTCATAATATATCTAATAATAATGTTCATTAAAATTGTGTCATTAATAAGGCATCAGATTGAAAAATTGGGAACGATAAAAACAATATTAAATTTAAACGAGAAATTATTTATCGTGACATGGTCACAATGCCGGGTTGCAGTTTTTAATTATATTTTAAATTTATTTAAAAGTACATTTTTTGTCACTCTTAGCCTAGAAATAAGATGGAGATAAATTTGGGTGGGGTGTGAAGTTAGTGTTTAACCGTTAAAATAAAATACTCGCAAATAATTTTATAAATTAATTTTGTTTCATCATAATTTCACAATTTCTACAAAAACCGGACAACTTAATAATTAATCCGGACCATGAATTTAAAAACCGGCGTGATGGAAACACTAGATTTGGATGAATGGCCTTAGCAATCAACTTGATTGTTTGAAGCACACTTTGTTTAACATATACATCCTGCTTTAAAAAGCCACAAAATAACGAATATTGACAGAAAATGAAAGTATATTATCAACAGTTAGTACAATATATAACTTTGATGATTGATAAAACTGAGCCATGCTTCTTAATGTTAAATTGACTTACTGACTGTGTAAATTATTGGGAATCGTAATTCGATGGCGAGAGTATTCGATATTCCTACCTTTCGACGATTTAGAATATTTTTCCTATTTAAATTATTCGTTTTTGAGGTTTTTTATTTGCGATAAGATCGAAGGAAAACTTAAAAAGATTAATTGATATAACAAAGCAATCCCGGTAGACGCCATTTTCGACTACTGGTACGCGGCCTATTTACTTTAGTAGCTTATTTATTCAATTGTAATTTCCGCATGTGAGTACACGCGACATGGAAAGACGACTGAACGGCAACCGTTTCTGTCGACGGTTTCCGTTGTCCGTTTCCACATGTCAGCAGTGGCGTGCCGTCATTAGAAGCGTTGGAAGCGCCGCTTCCCTCGTATTCTCTAAAAAATAAATAAATATTAATTTTAATTACAGTAGAACCTCGATTATCCGGACTAATTGGGGATGAAGGTAGTCCGGATAAGGAAAAATCCGGATAATCGAGACAGATACTTTAATTTGTCTTTTAATGATAATACAACATGTTTTCTTTTCGATGACATATCGGTAATATTAAAACTAAATACTGTATTTAAATCGTGATCAAATTTTCAAAAAAGAAACATTCGTATTGCATTTGGACTACTACTGACCAACGCTAACAGACTACCTATTGTTTAAAAGGCCCTCTGGTGGCGCAAGAAGACGGATTTTATAAAATAAAAAGCAGTTGAAACTGCATTTTTATGAATAAAAATTTGACAAACTATTTA